AAGCTGTTTCTTTTAAGAGTCGTTCTTAAGGATGGGTATTTGTGTTGCACGTAGGTATTACGTGGGAGAGAACTATAACAGCTCACTTGGGTATGCAAAACGCGGAAGTCACAAGATGGGGTCTTCGGTCTTCAGCTCAATTCATATTTTTGTACTACTTTTGCTAACGCTTTATTTATTTGGTAAAATTTGTTTTCCATTTTCTAGAGAGTCGGTGCTTGTTCTGTTACAGGCGGTACGTACCGTTGCTCAAACATCAGAAGAGAGAGATGCACTGGGACTGAAACCAACCACAAAGAAGATGGATCCGACTCTGTTGTCTAAGCTGTTTCCTGATGGTTCTTCTGGGAAACATTGTTCGAAATGGAAAGTTTTCAACCCTCAGTGGTATCTACTGGAGCACCATTCCGAAAACGCCGTAAGCAGTTTTTTCACGGCCTTGAAAATTTCTTGTCTCATTTTTCGTGCATATGTCTTCCGCATTATGCCGTTTTTCCCACACATTTATTGTGTGCTTTTGAAAAATAAATAAAGCAAAGTTCTGTTACAGTATAGAAGAGCTTCGTGAAGCATTGAAAATGATGCAGGTTGCTAAAGCAGATGAAGCAAAGAAGAGCGAGAAGATGCACAAGGTGGTTTTTTTCTACCATTCGTTCTATGTTAACAATGACCACAATATTTATTGACGTTTCAAATGTTTTTGTTGAGATTTTTACCACTGATATTGTAGGCCAACCTTTATTCCTTGATAAACTGTGTGGATTCGCTAGCTGTATTGCATGGAGAGCTGGAACGTAGTAATAAAGCCGGCGAATTTGCAGTCATCAAGCAGATTGGGAATCAGGTGATGTATTTCCTTATTCGCTTCATTTAGAACATAGTATTTTACAAGTTACGTCACTAAATTCGGCTATTTAGATTTCTGAAGCACGCTTGAAAGCTGAGAGCGTGTTTAAGGATGTTTTATCTCGCAAGGATCGTGCTGATGCCACTAGAAACGCTCTTTCTGTCCTCACTCGGTTCAAGTTCATTTTCTTTCTCAGTAAGACAATAGACGACAATATGAAAAAGGTACAACATTCTTTCACTCTATTCTCACTTTTCTTGTAAATCTAGTTAATTCAATGTGCCCATAATTAAATAATATTAGTTTAAGGGTGAATATTTGACCATCCTGAATGACTACATGCGAGCAAAGTCTCTGTACAAAGATACTGAGGTTGCCTTATTCAAAGAAGGTGGGTTCGTAATAGTGCCCATGTCGGGTATGGAAATAAACAAGTATTTCTACTGGTTCTGTGAAATTGATTCCATTCAGTAATGGCTCATCTGGATACAAAAATGGAGAAGTTTAAAGAGGAGATGAAGATGAAGCTGATCGATACTTCAGCTTCATTTGAAGAGCAGAGCAAGCTTATCAAGTATCTCAAGGTTAGTTTTTCCCATTTCAATATCCTATTCGCAGTGATGGAGCGTTTTCAAATTTACCCGTCCAGTCCGCTGGCATTACAAACTCGGCCGCGCTCGCCGCGGCTGCGCCCCAAAGTGTGAAAAAGTGGGGGAGCCTCGCTTCAGGTTTTGTCAGACACAGTGGTCAATGAGATCCTCGATGTACGGGGAGAGGAAACTTCAAAAGATTACTCTCGGAAAGGGCTGATAGAGGTTAAGGTGGTTTGCTATGAATGGGAAAATTTCAATCCAAGAAAGCGCGGCGAAGTGAAGTCTGAAGGTGTCCCACAGAAAACATTTGAGCGATCCTCCATCTAATGGGGAAAACTGAGTCCTACGTTAGACTTAATTTTCTTTTCGTTACGTGTGTTTAGTTTATACTTGATTCGTAAGCAATTACGCTTTTATCGCTACAGTGAACCAAAATCATTATCGACCGTAATTATGTATTAGAAGCCCTCATTCAAGTCGTATACCACAGTTTCTCTTTCTGTGTTCGTGGAGTACAATACAGTATTCATACATGTAAGGGAGGATGAGATCTGTTTTAGATACTTGAGCCTGAATCGGATCCGACATGGGAATGTATTACTGCGTACCACTGTTGGCTGGAGGAAGTTTTATGGAAACTGCAAGAAACTCATTACAAAAAAGGTAGTTTATACTTTACCCATTCCGTTTTCAATATTAAACAACATCCTGAGGAAAATGATGATTTTTTATTTTCAGCTGTTGAAGCAGAGAGTAATTTTGAAGATAATCGGTTTACAAGTAAGCTTTCTTTTTTATTTAAATGTGGTTTTTTTCTCACTGCAAGAGTATTCTTCAGTTTTGGAAACCAATGAACGCCAAGTTTTCGTCTCTTCATTAGTTTCCGTGTTGATGCATAAACTGCAATCATTTTGGAAACTCTCCAACACCTACACAACAAATGAGGAGCGCTGGACCCAGCGTCAAGACGACATCAACGTTAGTTTCCTTTTGAGTGATGTGTACATGCGAAAGGTTGCGGTTTTCGAATCATCAAAGTTGTTGAACTTAGGGACGAAATTTGAAATACCATCAGAGGAAAAGAAAAACGGCGGAAAACTCCTATTAAAAAACCAGTCCAGTTTGAGTAACGATACACGCAAAAGTTGTTCTTGAAAACTTCAATGGATAAAGTGTAAAGAGTGAAAAGGTGATGGGACGGTCATTGCATGTCACCGTTGGTGGGTTCCGTGTGCGTGGAGATCTAGCACTCATCAACTCTGAAATGTGCGCTACGGAAAAGTGATAAAATGTTATGTCATAGAATCAAGTGATGAAAACAAGTTTTTTCTTAGGCAGAAGTATCCGCATGGAAAAACTGTAGGCGGTTTATCAGAAAATAGGTTTCCGTTTCAAAAACCTGGGAAGGAGAGCCTTGCGAAGTTCTGTGCCGGTGTCGGTCATGGCACCTTATACTTACTATTTACTGTTGGTGCTTGAAACACAGTAGGCTAGGCAACTATTTATCTCAGTCTTTTTAAAGAATAATACAAACTTCTTTTTGAAAGCTCTTCTTTCAGCAAATGTTGGTGAATACTATAAATGTTTCTTCATGGTTGATACTTAACGCGCTAGTGCCGAAAGCATTACCAGATGACGTCATCAAGAGGTTGGATTTACTTCTCAAAATGGTAATCTTCCTGTTTTTTGTGAGTATAGAAAGAGCACTAGCTTTTTCTCGCAATTTGCTTAATGTATAGTTGCATTACGGTGATGCTCTGGTTCCTTTCAATCTACCTGTCGATCTTTTTGATGTGGTGGAATAGGCCACTCATTCAATCTACGATTAGGATTTGTTCCATGGCGCTGTCTTTTTCGATATTTCAATTACAAATGCGCGGTTTCGAGGATGTGCTGTTCTTGAAATTTTGCCAGAGCTCACCTGCAATCATGGCGAAGCTGCTGAATCGCGTCTCTTACCAGCCGCACGGTTGTGAAGTCAATGAAAGTCAAATGCATACTGTGCCCCATCACAATCATTGATCTATACCGAATGCTCTATGCTTTACCTGCAGACGAGCTTATTTAAAGGCTAATTTGGCGATGGCTAGAACGGCGGTATGGGTTTCAAACGCAACAGCAGGTTGCTGGTTGGTCTGGCAAAAAAGAGGAGAAGCCACTGAGAAGGTCCGGGTGTGGGTCGCCAGGACAATAAGCGACTTTTTGGCTCTTCGTAGCACGAAACTTCACTGCATGAACCCCAGCTACACTTATGATGGAGGTGTGGGGGGGGGGGGAGGGGAGGGCGCCTGTGGTTCCAGCAGCGAAAAAGTCTCACAGGTCAGCTGCGAAAATTGGAAAAATTGGTGTGGAATAAAAACGGAAACTATCTTCCGAATACTACTTTAAATTTATATCCTTGGGTTTGCACTAATAGGGAAGCTCTGTCTCCCATTTTTCAACCGTTTACTGTCACTCGTTCACCTATGCATTCAATCGGTTCAGAAGCAAATACAGCACTTGTCACTTATTCGGTCCATACTTCTTAATGTGGTTTTCGTCAGGTATGAAGCGCAGTTCGTGCGATGGCCTGAAATTTCCGCTCAGACAACGAGGACGGTACTGACACATAGTCTCAAAACTTTGAGGTTGTTAAACGGTTTTCTGCTAATGATTCTGCCTAACTTGTTGCTGCTCTTGAATCTTCTGCAGAGCTTTCACAAGGATCTAGCTCTCATTTTTGACTCTTTGCAGATCGTTCATTTCTTCTCTTTTGGAAGCGCAGTTCACTTCAACTCATGTGCAACCTTTAGTCGAACTCTGCATGACAGTACGGTTGAAATTCGTCTCGGACGTCATCGACAGCGGTGTGGAAAGTAAGCCATTACGTTCTTTTTGCAGACCTTTCCTTTCTGTGGCTCAGCACAAAACTGCTGAGTGCTTTTTGTCAGACGACTTTAATAGTACTTGTTTCTTTGGACTGATAAGAAATACATAGTTTGAGTCCATAATTTGTTGGAGTTTCTTAAGTGGATGGTCTTAAGTGGTGTTTCGTGTTCAAAGTTTTCTAATGGAGGTTGAGAAAGTTCATGGGAACCGCTGCAATCAAACATTATCAGTATAATGTTCAGTCTCACACTCGCCTACCATTTGTCGCCACTGTTTACCCCTGTATTGCTCTCTAATGCTACATTTTTCCCTGGAAATTCCTGGAAATCGCTTTCATGTCCACGGGATGTCCACCGCTGCAAGCTCCTTTTCCTTCCTAGGCTTTGTTTTTTTTTTGTGTTCTCTTAAATCCTTTCTAATTCAAGTCACGCTGCTCGCAGCTATGTTCAATTCGACCTTTCCAAAACCTAATGATAAAAAATTCGAGTATTGCAGGTATTTGCGCACTCGGTGCGAAAGAGGATTGGAAACAAGATTTCAGTTCAAGTATTGCCGCAAAGACAGCGCTGCCAGACTTTTACGAGAATGAGGTATATTTCCGAGCTAAATATTCTTTTTTCTTGTTTCTTTCATGTACCAGTGTTTTAATAATAATGGGATAAGATTCTATAATATATACTTTGCATGCAATCAAGATTTCTTAAATTCGTTATGGTCAAGGTGTTCGATTGTTTATCTGCTGTGAGAGACGCACTTTCTACTTCTGGATATCCGAACGAGGCCTGCTTATTTTCTCGTGAACGGTTTCGAAGTACTTTAGTCGATATCTTTGTCCATTTGCTAACGGCCATCAGGCATTGTTTTGACAGGTGTGTCCTTTTTATCCTATGAGCTCATTCAATAAAGTTCTATTCGATTGGGTAATCTAGCGGCCAGGAATATTTTTCGAAGGAGATTCTTCGTGTTCGCTTTAAGGTTACTTAATTTGCGGGCAGATCTAAAGAAACCTCAGGATCTTGACCTCAATCGCAAGGACGAGGAAAAAAGTCATGTAAGTCACCCTTGCGATATCACCTCATTCTGGTAGTGTTGCTTTGTCATAGTGAATGCTTTGTAGCTCACAACGAAGAAATTGCTCATTAGCATTTGCAATTTGGAGTTCATATTGGAAACCGCGTTGAAAAACATTAGCCGACGTTTGCTCGATTGTGGTGTGAAGTATGCGGATGAGGTATACGAGGTAGTTTTTTTTTTTTGATAAATATCACCCTCAATGCTGTCATTTCTTTTTTTCATGAAGTAATAAGAGGTCATCTACTTCTTTCTTTTGGTCTGCTGCTGGTTTTTACTAGAATTTCCAAATTTATCAGACATTATGTGGACTTTGCATCGTTTCAGTCGTTCGGGTGGTCAACTTCTATTAGTGGGCGGAGCACGCACCTAAGTGGGCGGAGTTTGCCAAAAGTGTCGTAATTTGGTTCCAAGAGGTCCCAGAGACCGGTGAAAAAGGGGTAGAGGTCGGCGAAAGGAAGGGGGCCAAATGCTATTGGTGGGCGGGGCACGCACCGAAGTAGGCGGAGTTTGCCACGAGATTTATTGTCCGGAAGCAGTCCGGAGACCGGGAAAAAGAGGATAATGGTTGACGAAGAAAAAGAGGTTGAAAGCCGTCGATGATGGAGCGGATAGAATTTAGCTGAGAAGTCAGATATTCGTGGTGTATCAGGCCAAATTTGAAAATTTTCGCCGCACCATCAAAATTCGCCGCAGATCTGTGTTGTGCGCGCAATGCGTGCGGCGCCAACTGGTAATAAACACCTCTAAACCTAAGCTGGGAAGGTGATTGCGGCGAAATTATCACATCAATCTAATAGTACGTCTTTACACAACTCTTCTATCTATACTGACCCACCGCTGCCAGGTCTCCACACCTGTATCTATGCTCATTTGCTTGATAGACTCAGTTCCTAGGCACCTTCTTCTTCCTTCCTTCCATCTATCCTTTGACACCTTTCTCTAAGGATATCTCTTTTTGTAACTCACTGCATCTGTTGGATTGAAGTTCCTTTTGACGTAGTGAGTTAGTATCGTGACGTTCATCAAGTGAGTCCTGTTGATTGGCCCCTCCATTCATGTTTCTACATTTTTTTTTGTTTTTGATTATTTCTTCTTTCCAGAAGTCGAAGTCCAAGTTGTCAATGTACAGGAAGACTCTTGTCCGGTGCTACATTATGATCAAGAGCAGCGCTTTCACGTCTCTGATAGACTCTGCTAACTACGAGTTTATACCCGATGACGGTGAGCTGTAATTTTTAACACCTGTTTCAAGACATATTTTCCGTCCGGTAATAAGGATATGTGTCATCATATAAAACCGTCGTGCGCATAGATGTGTCGGATTATGCGAAAGAAATAATGATGTGTTGCGTTCTACAACAAGCTGAATTGGAACTATGCGCTCCTCAGTTAACTTCACAATGTCTACAGGTATAAATATTTTGATATTGGGAATGAGGCGGAAGCTCTACATTTAGGCTCGCATTAGAATCTAAATATAGTCGTGTTTTAAGGCTACTGTACAAGGCGGCTTTCGACAACTTATTAGACCACTTGGAAGCACGCGAACCAGCTTCTGAACGTGAAGTTACTCAGAGAGTTATTGATATCTGCGCTCTAGAGCAGCTACTAGGCGGTTCACGCAGTCCTGGAAACTAGGTAAGTGGAAAAGTTTTGTTGCCTTATGTTGCCAGACTATTTCAATATATGCCCGATTTCTCTGAAAGGCACGGGAATCTAGTAATCGCAATTGGATTCGGGTATGCACCCTATTGCATTTAAATCCATATTTCCATTCTTCAGGACCCATGTCAATGCGTATCGCGCTGGCCTGGTCGGTCAACTTGATCAGAGGTGAGTTGATCCTTCTGAAGGTATTGTATTTTTGATGAATTCTAACCGCAATGTTTTGACAGCTGACATCAAAATCGACCCTTCATGCTGACTAATCTATTTACGTTACGCTAAATCTTGCAATTCCGTAAAAGAGTTACGGATGAGTATATCATTCAAACGTTTTCACACATTTTGCTTGAAAATTCCGAAAGGAAAATTCTGAAAGACAAGAGCAATACCCTTTCTAGAATCTTATTTCGTTTCTTCGCGTTTTTTTTTCTTCCTTCCAGAAAGCTTCAACTATGCCTCAACAACATGCGTTCTTCGATGCGTATGGCTATCGAAAGCTTAGAAGGAGGGGCAGAGGACGATCTGAACACGTCAAATATCTAAGACTTCATTTAGTACTCCGTTGATTATATACATAGGTGCCTGAATTTATCTCATAATACGATTTGTAAGTTGACGAAAGAGTCCGCTGAATGCTTTCAGTCTGAACTTCGCTTCTGTGCCACAGCTTATGCTGCATTATTTATTTATTTTTAGGATTTTTCTTCTCTGTTATAGATTTCTACGTTCACGCCTTTGTTAGCAAGGCAGTAACTGTGATGGAAGTGCCCATATTATTAACTTCCCTTATGTGATGTGCAAGCTTTAAATGAATTTCTTGCTGCTTATCTTTCAAATACGTACATCCGTTTCTCGGGAGCATTTTTACTTCGCATTTGGTCTAAAAATGAGTGCATCGTTTCACACGTTCAATAATGAGAAATCTCAGAGTGCGATCTGCGGCGGCACTCTGAGCGGGTTCCGCGAGGTCGATCTTGAACGTGGCCATGTCCGTAGCAGTTCCTTTTTAGTGTGCAAGGTCTGCTTTACTTTCAACAGATTCTTAATTCTTGGTTGGTATCCTGTTATCATATTGGAATGAGCAATTACCACATAATGCCGCTCACTTCAGATTACATCACCATGTTACCTCTACGAGAAAAATTCTCTTCGACGAAATTTTGGGTTATTTTATCAGCCGTTCTTGGTTTTATATCTTTACCACGTCTGAGTGCCAGTTGGGTAAGTCGCTAATAAATTTATCTGCCATTCTCTTATTCCTTAATTCCTTTTTTTGTTAATTCTGCCGATTCGGGATTCGCCTCATGATTTTTTGTTTATATTATTAATTGTGGAAGTTGTGATGACGGTCGTGCAAAAACGCATGTCGTCGTTAGCGCGATGTACTACTTTACGTACTACTTTTGCAGTCTATTGAAATCTTTTGCATCGTGTTGAAAAACATGCATGCATCGTGGAAGTAGGTTAAGTTCTTCTGTAAGGCAGGATACGCTTTGCTTTACGCGTTAGGAGGTGCTGAATGCGCGGAATATCCCGGCTTACTCCACCAACATCCTTAATAGTTTTCTATACTCTTTATTAGTCTCTGCTTTTTATGTTAAGGTCACAGATGGCGAAGGCTATGAAGTGGGCAATAGAAAGCGATTTGCTGCTGTATTGCGAATGGAACTGTTTCTGTTGTTGTGCAGTTTCTTTGTATATCATCAATTAATGCTTTACTTCGATAAGGAGGAGCATGAGAAATACGAAAGGAGAAATGTCGCTGTAAGTTTGTAAATTCTAATCAATTAAAAAGGAAATGGAAGTTGTGGCAAAGCCGCTCGCGGGGCTGGAGAAAGGGATATATTTACCTCCACATTTTGCTGAGTCCAATCAAGCCTTCATTTTGGTGTTGGTTATTTGGTGCTTCACTCATCAGGAGGATTCAGCACCGCGTTGTGTGTCAACACACCCTCCCAACTCATAGAGTCAGATCGCCTTCATATGCAACTGCGATTCTGATCGAAGTCGAATGCGTGGCGCATTTCATTGCCTCCTTCGAGAGCTCATTGATGATAGCTGCAGATAACTGCTAGGACTACCTCCATTGTCCTAACGTAGTCGGGTAGCCTCTCAGCGCGAGTGATCGGAGCAGCTTCTGTTTGTTTATTCAAAGCTTGTAAGGACCATGAGACTTCTCGATCACTGGCACCTTGTAGCTTTTAGTAAAAAATGACTGGATGACTTCCGATTATGGTAGGGCTTGCGCTCTCCTGGTTTTATTCGGATATGCGCTCTGTTGTAACAGGCATTTCATGCAATATCGCTCATACTGTAATCCATGTATTTGCTTGCAGAATGGTTGCT